CCACCCCTGCAAGCAACCCATCATGCAATCACAAGCTTGTCAAGCTCTCTTAAAACTAGTCAAGTTGTTTGTCCCCACAACTCCTATTGGAGGCTGGTTCAGAGCCATAGGGAGATAACTTGCATAATAAACTATACTGCTATCTTTGAGTTCCAGTAATTATTTCTTACAACCTTGTTTACTGATTTTTATTTATTTAAGGAAAGGTGTTGATCTAATCACATAATGTCCTTAGTTGCTACACATATTACCTGAACAGATGGATCCCATTCTATTATAGCATCACTGCTGTTCCTGCTCCTATATTTTAAGGAGATGCTGTCAAGCTTGCTGTTGGTTTCGGTCACTTTCACTTATTGTTAATAACCCCATAGAAACTTGGATAAAAATCAATTAAAAACTTATTTTAATGTATTTTATTTGTGTAAGAATTTAAAATGGCTACTAGCTATTTGGAAAGACATTTCTTGGCTGTGGTGCACTAGCATGATGACATTCTAATGCTCCACAATCTTATAAGAACAGCGATACTGGGTCAGACCATTGGTCCATTTAGCCCAGCATCCTGTCTTCTGTCAGTGGGCAGTACCAGGTGCTTCAGAGGAAACAAACAGAACAGGTAATCATCAAGTGATCCTTCCGCTGTTGCCCCTTCCCAGCTTTTGGCAAACTAAGGGCTATGGCCCCTTCAGCGTATGGTTTTGCATCACTGTCCATCCTGGATAATAGCCCATCAATGGACCTGTCCTCAATGAATTTATCTAGTTCTTTGTGAACACTGTTATACCCTGGCAAAGAGTTCCAGGGGTTGACTGTGCGCTGTGTGAAGAAGTCTTTTGTTCGTTTAAACTTGCTGCTTATTCATTTCATTTGCTGACCCCTAGTTCTTGTGTTATGAGAAGGAGTAAATAACACTTCCTTATTTACTTTCTCCACACCAGTCATGATTTTATAGCTCTCTATAATATCCCCCCTTAGTAATCTCTCTTCCAAGCTGAAAAGTCCCAGTCTTATTAATCTCTTCTCGTATGGTAGCTGTTCCGTACCCCTAATCATTTTTGTTGCCAGAGTCTGTACCTCGTCCAATTCCAGTATCTTTTTTTTGAGATGAGGCTACCAGATCTGCATGCAGTAATCAAGATATGGGCATACCATGGACTTATATAGAGGCAATATGATATTTTCTGTCGTCTTATCTATCCCTTTTTTGATTCTCAATATTCTCTTCACTTTTTTGACTGCCACTGCACATTGAGTGTACATTTTCAGAGAAGTATCCACCATGACTCCAAGATCTTTCTTGAGTGGTAACAGATAATTTAGACCCCATCATTTTATACATATAGTTGAGATTATGTTCTCCAATGTGCATTACTTTACATTTATCAACATTGAATTTTGTCTGCCATTTTGTTGCCCAGTCACCCGGTTTTGTGAGATTCCTTTAACTCTTTGCAGTCTGCTTTGGACAGAACTATCTTGAGTAGTTTATATCATCTGCAAATTTTGCCACCTCACTGTTTTACCCCTTTTTCTAGATCATTTATGAATATGTTGAATAGTACTAGTTCAAATACAGACCCTTCAGGGATACCACTATTTACCTCTCTCCATTCTGAAAATGGACTGTTTATTCCTACCCTTTGTTTCCTGTCTTTAATCAGTTACTGATCCATGAGGGGACTTTCCCTCTTATCCTATGAGAGCTTACTTTGCTTAAGAGACTTTGAGGGACCTTGTCAAAGGCTTTCTGAAAATCCAAGTACACTATATCAACTGGACCCCCTTGTCCACATGCTTGTTGACCCCCATCAAAGAATTCTAGTAGATTGGTGAGGCATGATATCCCTTTACAAAAATCATGTTGACTCTTCCCAACAAACCATATGCATCTATGTATCTGATAATTCTGTTCTTTACTATATTTTCAAGCAATTTGCCTGGTACTGAAGTTTAGGCTTACCTACCTGTAATTGCTAGGATCGCTTTTGGAGCCTTTTGAAAAAAAAATGGCATCACATTAGCTATCCAGTCATCTGGTACAGAAGCTGATTTAAATGATAGGTTACATAACACAGTTAAAAGAAAAGGAGTACTTGTGGCACCTTAGAGACTAACCAATTTATTTGAGCATAAGCTTTCGTGAGCTACAGCTCACTTCACATTTGAGTTCCTTGAGAGCTCTTGGGTGAACGCCATCTGGTCCTGGTGATTTATTACTTATTACTGTTCAATTTATCAATTTGTTCCCAAACCTCCTCTAATGACACCTCAATCTGGGACAGTTCCTTAGATTTGTCACCTCAAAAGAATGGCTCAAGTTTGGGAATCTCCCTTACATTCTCAGTTGTGAAGACCGTTGCAAAGAATTCATTTAGTTTCTCCACAATGGCCTTATCTTCTTTGAGTGCTCCTTTCGCATCTTGATCGTCCAGTGGCCCCACTGGCTGTTTAGCAGGCTTCCTGCTTCTGATGTCCTAAAAATTTATTTTGCTGTTACTTTTTAATTCTCTGTCTTGAGCAAATATTGTCTAGCATCTTCAGAATTCATTTTGTTGTGTACACAAATTTTCTCCTCTCCCAACCTGACCAGCAACTTTGGCTTATCTGTTTGGCAGCAAGACCCAATTTTTTTTTCTCTGACCCCTTCCTTCCTTGCTTATCGGCACATTCTGATCCCACTTAACATTTTATTTGGAACATCCAGTACTTTCTGATTCTTCTCTTCTGATTTTGGTATGCCCACCCATTGAAAAGATGCCACCTTTGTTTAACTTCTGAATCCACCCTTATCACTCCAAATCCCCCAGGGTAACTGCTCGTTCTTTCACAGCAGCTCAGTAACAGTTTTATCCCCATGCTTTTCTCGGACTCCCTAGGCCTTTAAACAATTCCTAGTTTAGTTGTCTAGCCTCTCAGCTCCTCCTATCTCAGTGACATTCCCCAAACAGAGTGCCTCATGGTTACTCTCCTTCCAGCTGTTGTACTTTTCAGGGTAATGGGGTCCTTTTTTGCCCCTTCTGGCTGTGAAGCATTCTGCAGGCCAATGTACAGTGTGTGTTCTCCATTTCACTGAGGCTTCTGAGTCCCCATTCAGTTTATAAAATCACTGAAGGCAAAGGTATGCTCTGAGTTTCGATAAATTTGCCTTCCTGTCTAAGGTTACATAAATTTGTAGGCCAGAACAAACTGACAGTGCACCTTAAGAGGCAGCCTCAATCTGGCACCTGTGTGTGTGCACTGGGTGGAGGGGAGAGAGCATGAGAGCCTTTCCTCACGGTGAACCCACTCAAGAGGCAGCTATAATTTCACTGCTTGTACAGCCAGCAGTGCACTCAGTTCAAGGCTGTGTGTGTGGGGGCAGGGTTGTGATTATGGCCCTGCCTCTTCTCCAGTGTGCAGTGGAGCTGAACACTTTTTATCGTGGGGGTGCTGAAAGCCAGCTAAGGAAACTGTAAAGCAGTGTTCCCCCACACTTTACTTTGTGCCCCTCCTACCCCCCGAGATCCATGGCTCTGGAAGGGGGGGCATGGATAGGAGTAAGGGTGCAGAGGCTCGGGCCATAGTTGGGGGTGTGCCTGAGGCTAGCAGCCAGGGTCTAGAGCTGTGGGTGCTGCAGTACCTCCCTCATCCTTAGTTCCTGTGCCTATACCAGTGTGCCACTCTGTCCCCTGATTCCACCCTCTGCATAAGGGGAACAGCCTACACTTGGAGGAATTATGTTTCTGGTTCCATGGGCCTCCATGTCCAGTGAGGCTTGGGGTCTATGTCATATGGTATAATACAATACTGTCTACATGTTAAATGTTATACAGGCATTTTCCTGAAATGAAACTTGAATTTATCCATTCATAAATATGCTAAGATATACTGGAGTCTAAGGACCTACCAAAACTGAAGTTCACTCATTAAACAGTGCTTTGTATTGGAAGCTACTGATACTTCTGGTTGTTTTTTTTGTTTTTGTTTTTGTTTTTGTTTTGGATGGGGGGGTGGGGAGGGGTTTTTATAATTTAAATTATTGAGCTCTTTCCCCCAGGGAGAGCAAAAAGGGGGAAAGGATGTTTTAAGGTGGTACTGAGTTGATGAAATGGCTCTTTTACAGACTGTGCAAAGTCTGACCTAGTACTTTAAGTACAGAAACTTTGAACGACATGGCTATATTAGCTTATGAATTAAGTAGCATTAGCCTCCCGTCTCCTGTAACCTTTCTACCATGTTGAGTTGTGAAGTGTGTGCAAAGGGAAATTCTTCTGTTGATATATTAATGAGAGAGAATTTCTTGTAAATTGCCTGTTGATTATGAAGTAGAAAATGAAATAATGAATTGTGCAATCTTTACAGTTGTATATTGGTTACCCTGTCTTTATCAGGCAGTTGGTCTGTAGCAGGTGCAATGAGTGCGTACGGTACCACTTCTATATTTTATAGTTTCACACTATAAAAAAAAATATTTTTGCTACTTCCTTGACCATGCAGTTTGGTTTCTCTCTCTCTCTCTCTCTCTCTCTCTCAAGAGCCTGCTCAGCAACCAAACCCAGATTTCAGGTGCCGTATTCCACAATCATTCTGTAGTCTGTAATCATAGAAACAGAATGTTCCTCCTCTTATTCCTCCATTGCCAACAGTTTCTGGGTGGGTGAATGTCAGTAGCTGGAGCTATTTTTAAAGGCGAGAGGTGAGGCTTGTCGTGCAAAGCTAGAAAGAGGGCGTTTGTTTGCAGAGCAGAACTGACATCAAAGTGCAGATTGCTGCCTACTGGCTAGCCACTTGCCTTATACCAGGTTATCTTTAATGTGTGTGTCAGTCACAAAAATTACAAGCTAGCCCAGAATGTATATGAAATATTGTTAGTATTTATGATCTGGAAGACTGCTGCTTTTTTTTTTTTTTTAATTTCCATGAGCTGGACTTTGAAACTTGGGCATTCATACTAATCAACTTGAAGTACCTGCTCAGTGCTGCTTAACTAAGCAATCACTTTCCACTTCTCTTCACAGGATAATATAAATGTTTTTCTGAAAGCTTGTGAAAATATTGGATTGAAAGAAGCTCAGCTCTTTCATCCTGGGGATCTTCAGGATTTGTCCAGTCGAGTTACTGTCAAGTAAGTTTTTTTTCACCTAATATTTTTAAAGTTAGCTAATATGTTTTACAGTCAGAGTTTTAAAAAATGTTTGACTAGAAAATTCTTGCTTAAAACAGGTAGCAACAGAGCAGTTTTGAAGCAGTGTAGCTCAGAATGGTCTTAGCTTTGTTAAAGTCTGTTAAAGTTAGGTCTGATATAATTAGTGAAAATATTTCCTATAATGAACCTTACTTTGTAATTTAAAATTAGTATTTTAAAACCAACCAGTATATTGGTTTGCTAATTAATATTTAGTGTTTAAAGATGTGAAGCAGAAACTGCTCTGTTAAAATTTAATTTTAGAATAAATAAACTCTGTAGGTGAATTGTGTGCTATAATAACCAGAAGGTGCTAAAAATAGATTCTAAAAAATTATTTCTTGATTTATTTGTTTAAATTTTGAAATCAGTAGTTTAAAAAAATCTCAAGGATTAGACTAGTAATTTGTGGCATTCAGATGAGTTGCTGTGGGGTATGAGTATTGTATTTCTGAAGTACCACACTTCTCTCCACTCAGAATATCATTCAAAGATTTGTTACTGAACATCACACTTCAGAGTGGGGAGAGAAACAGGAACTAAGTACAATGTATTGAGACCACTAGATGTTGGATTACACTCAGAGTAATTGTTCTGTTTACAGATGACAATATTTTCCCATGAAATAGACATGTTTGTTCTTGCAATATAACTCATTGCATCCCATAATTTTAGGACTCATGCTTTTCTCATTTGAATGGGAGTTCTGTTAACTTCAGTGAGAATAGCATAGAGCCCTTAATAAGCTGCCAAGAACTTGGTAGTTAACAGGTGTTACTAAGGTAAATATGGCATGCAGCAAATTTTTCGTTGGGCTATTTAGCTTTGTAGTGGTTGGCACTTTTGTTCAATTGTTCAGCCCCAGTAGGGGAAGGGGGACAGTGGGTGGGGACAGAAACCGACTATCTTAAATTCTAGGATACTTACTGAATACACATGTCCTTTGATTTTGTACAATTGTTTGAGTTGGTAGGAACACTTTTCTTCTTCTTCTTCTTCTTCTTCTTATCTCTCTCCCCCTTCCGCCCCCCCCTCCCTTTGGTAAAGGTGATGAGGGGAAAAAATGTGAAACAACCCAGCTTTTTCAATCTGGAAGATTCTCGTATAGGTTGCTCGCATGGGAATATGCGGAAATGTTCTTCATGTCCGTTGCAAAATGAAACTTAATTCAGGATTAAACTCTTATGCTTATGACAGCAAGATACTTCTAAAATATTTGATTTATTTGGCCTGATGATTTAACTGTTGATGATTGAGCTGCTGAGTTTCAAAACGTTGGCATTCTTGACTTTATGCAGTACAAGGAGCTAAGATGTTTGGAAACTCTGCCTTACTGTAATTATTCACAAAAGTCTCCAAATCCCTATTTTAGTCTAGATTGACTTTAAATATAGCTAAGAGTAATTTAAAATGGTGTGTGATTAGTCAGTATTCAGAAAAGTAAATTCTGACAATCTGAAACCTGAGGGAGGTCACATAGTAAGTTAACAAACTTCTGTGCAAGGTATGTTGTCCAACTTGTCTGAGTACTAACCACAAGTCACAAAAGTAGCAGGTGTGCCTGGGTGGTAGTGGTCAGTCATGAAATGAAAGAAGACTTGTCTATCTCATTTACATACTTATATAGCACCCATTACTATCTGTGATACCTGAGCATCTCAGTCTTTAATGTATTTATTCTCAAACACCCCTGTGTGATAGGGCAGTAGTCTTACCCCCATTTTACATATGGGGAATTGAGGCACAGAGTGGCTAAGTGCCTTGTCCAAAGTCTTTCAGGAAATCTGTCAGTTTTCGCCAACAAGGTTAGTAATGACTGGGACCTCTAACATAGTGAACACCAGTGAAAAAGAGGTAGGGTCTAAGGATAAAATTGGGAAAGAACAAGTTTAAAATTATTTAAACAATTTAGATGTCTTCAAGTCACCAGGGCCTGATGAAATACCTCCTCAGTCAGCTCCTTGAGAGTTACAGGACATATCTGAGCCATTAGCGATTATCTTCAAAAACGCATGGAAGATAGGAGAGATTCCAGAGGACTGGAAGAGGGCAAATATGGTGCCCATCTATAAAAAGGGAAATATAGAGAACCCAGGGAATTACACACCAATCAGCTTAACTTTGGTACCCAAAAATGGAGTAAATAATCAAGCAATCAGTTTGCAAACATATTAAAGATATGGAAATGGGCAACAGGAAATGGATCACTAGATTACCTGTTCTGTTCATTCCCTCTGGGGCAACTGGCATTGGCCACTGTCGGAAGACAGGATATAGGGCTTGTTGGACCTTTGATCTGACCCAGTATGGCCGTTCTTATGTTCTTAAAGTGATAAGTAACAGTCAGCATGGACTTGTCAAAAACAAATCATGGCAAACCCACTTAATAGCTTGCTTTGACAGAGTAACAGGCCTTATGGATGCGGGGTAGAGGGGGGAAGCAATAGATGTGATGCATCTTGACTTTAGTATGGTATTTGATACTGTCTAGCGCAGGGGTTCTCAAGACACATTTTTTGGTGGCCTCAGAGTGTGGCCAACAACTTTTGCTGGTGGCCACTCTCACACTTTTTCCTAAAATACTTAATTCGCTTTAGGAAGAACAATTAAATGTGCACATTTACACTTCCAAATCATTGTAATTTATTTATTGCTAGCTAGTAAGTCTGCTGTGAAAAGTGATATCAACAAGCATACAAATATCGCTTGTCACAGCAGACTTACTCAGGCCTGTCAAGCCTTTGGGACAAATTAAGCCCTGGATGGTGAGGTTGCGGGGGGGCTTGAGCCAAAGCCCGGTGGCCACAGCCTGCTTCCCTGCTGCCTCGCCACCCCAGGGCTGAAGCCCAAAGCCTGAACCCCACCACCCCTGGGAAGGTGGGGAACTCACTGGCTGCCTGGTTCTCCAGCATTGTGCCCCAGGTGTCTCCACAGGGGGAGTAGGGCCCAACCACTGCTGACAGCACTGGCAGTCAACACCAAGGCAGTGCATCCAGGAGCAACAGGGAGGGACCACTACTTTGCCCCCTCCCACTCCCCCAATAACAGTCCAGGGGGCTGTGGCCGCAAAAAAAGCCCCTGCTGGCAGCATTTGAGAAATGCTGGGCTAGCATGACCCTCTCATAGACAAACTAGGGAAATACAACCTAGAGGAGCTACTATAAGGTGGGTGCGTAATACTCTCTAGAACTGTTTTCAAACCAGTTATCAGTGGTTCACAGTCAAGCTGGAAGGGCCTATTGAGTGGGATCCCAAAAGGATCAGTCCTGTGTCTGGTTCTGTTCAATAGCTTCATCAGTGATTTAGATAATGGCATAGAGAGTACACTTATAAAATTTGCGGATGATATCATGTGCTTTGGAGGATAGGATTAAAATTCAAATGGATCTGGACAGACTGGAGAAATGGTCTGAAGTAAATAGGAGGAAATTCAATAAGGAGAAATGCAAAGTACTCCACTTATGGAGGAACAATTGCACACATACAAAATGGGAAATGACTGCCTAGGAAGGACATTAGAGAAAAACTTCCTAACTGTCAGGGTAGTTAAGCACTGGAATAAATTACCTAGGGAGATTGTGGAATCTCCATCATTTGAGATATTTAAGAACAGGTTAGACAAACACCTGTCAGGAATGGTCTAGTTTTTATTTATTCCTGCCATAACTGCAGTGGACTGGACCAGATGACCTCTTAAGGTCCCTTCCAGGTGTACGATTCTATGACTTGAGCCCAGATCGCCCAAGTCCTAGGCTAATTCTCTAACCACTTGTCTATCCTTCCTTTTAATTGGCTTTGAGAACTTTTCCTTTTAACACCCTTAGTTCCTCTACTAATTCCCAGAGAAATAAAAGTGGGATCAAATATGGGTGTGTCATATAGTAATGTAAAATAGTATCTTAAACCCACCACACAACAGGGCCCCATTTATTCAATTATTAGGAAAAGCAGGTTTAAACATTGTTCATTTTTATGGTTCATGTGTACGAATATACAGAAAAATTAGAGCAAAATGAAAATACTTGCATACCATACCGTCATGCTTTTTTAATTTGTTTGAATACAAGTTCAACTTTCTGTGTAACCTGTATCATATGATAGCTCCATAATATGTCTAAAATGCCATGACATTTCAGTTTGACCACATTGTAAAGGAGTAAATTGAATATCCTGGCAAATTTTGGCACACACAAAACTTGTGTTAGGAGAGAGTGAGTGAGTGGTCATTTCCTGCTAAACTTCTGGTAGAGCTTTACACTAGGATAACTCTTCATCAGAAAGTTGATTGAATGTCATGTAATCACCCTGGAGGCAAGGCTGTCTCTTGCAGAGAGTTCCCAGATAACATATTAAGGTTGTCAGCGGATTAACAGTATGTGCTGAAAAAGTGACTCTCTAAATCGTCTTTTAAAAAAACATTAGAAACATTACATACAAGTTTCAGAGTAGCAGCCGTGTTAGTCTGTATCCGTAAAAAGAAAAGGAGTACTTGTGGCATCTTAGAGACGAACAAATTTATTAGAGCATAAGCTTTTGTGAGCTACAGCTCACTTCATTTCTTATTACATACAAGTGATAGGTTTCTGACATATACAGATGAAATTATATACAATATATATACTTGCCTCAAATTGGTACACTGTGTCGTGTTAGGAACTTTGATGCTGTTTCTCATATACCATATAAGGTGAGCTTGTTCCAAATTAGTATGCATTTTGTTTCGATGCTAATGCATTATTTCTTGTTTACAGTAGTGTTTTGTATAAAGTTAATGGTGGGGTGGTGGTGTTGTCATAAAGAGACAAAGATTTTGTTTTCAGTAGAACCTCAAAGATACAAACACCAGAGTTACCGATTTATCAGTCAACCAGACACCATGTGGAACCTGAAGTAATCAATCAGTCAGCAGTGGAGACAAAAACAAAACCGCAAGTACTGGA